GCATTTACCCTGTCTAGTCCTGTTAGACTTTTATGTTTCTGTGAGATCTCCCCTCTCATTCTTTGAAACTCCAATGAGTATAGTCCTAACCAATCTAGGTCTGCCTTCATACATCAGACCTGCCATCGCAGGAATTGAGAACTGAACTTATCACTTAGTGTAGAACTGATTTATAAATTTTTTATGTATTTAACATCCCCGTGGCTTAGCTCTGCAGGAGACAGTAAATTTTCCAGGCTATACATGAAGTAGTCAATGCCAGCAAGAGAGCAATTAATTTTAATATTCAATGTTGAGAACTGTTATCTTGCAAACCATGCCAAAAATGTGCAGACGCAATGTTATACATGGGTAGGATTGGTTGTGGTAGTGATGTCCTCCAGAACTGAATAGCATGCTGACATTATTGTCACAAAGAGACCGGCTGCTTTGCCAAAGTAATGAACAGCAGCTGGTATTGATAAAACCACATGATAGTGAGGAGAAAGGAAAGTGTTCACGTAGGGAAAGGAACCAATAGAGAAATTACTCAATAATGATTATACCAGATTAGTGGTGTTGACACGAGTGATTTCTAATGAATGCATATCATAGATTTATCCATAATTTAAGAATTTTTAGAAATAACCCTTCTTTCCCAACTGTCCTGAACTGCAACTAAATAACTGTCTTAATCCTTTCATTGTACGGTCATCCAAGAATGTATAATGATGTCAAAAATGCAATACATCATTGTACTTCCCATAAATATTGTGTGAACAGAATGTACAATAATTTAACCGAATATGTTAGCCTATTTAGTTTCCAAGATATTTTACAAATCTGGTGCAGATTGAATGAGGCTGTAGTCCAGGTGCAATTTTAACCCATGGAAAGGCCGTACAATCTAACAACTTCAGTGCTGTTTTATCATCAGCTAGTAATTCAAGAACAGTTGACTTATGTCTCAAGCACAACTAATAATAGATTGTAAAAGTTACAGTTTAAGGAAAAAATGTTGCATTTCTAGGAAAACAGAACAATTGCTATTTTTAAACACAAATGATAATCAATATCAAAAAAATCCTCCCCCACAACTACTTCTTCATTGGTTAGTTGACTTGAAAGTTGCAATGAAACCATCTATTTAGCCCAGAATTAGTAAACCGGAGAAATGAAAACTATAGTCATCCAGAATTAATGCCACTAACTTTAAACAGCTACAAAGTTAACAAATCTGAGTGCATTAGGCTTTCCATCGTGGATTTAAGTACAAAGGAGCATTTTAAAAAAGTGACAATGAATGAACAAAATGTGTTCAATTGCCAAAGTTCGAACAAAGGCACAACAAACGAGAGAACTACGAGTCTAGTCCGTAGAGTAACATTTTTCAATTCAGCACATTTATATTATTTTTTTTCAAATAAATTCTCAACTTTCGAAAGAAGTGTTGCAATAAAGTAGAACAATTAAGTTTTACCTAAAGTGTCATGAGAGTTCAACAAGGGAGTAGTCTAGTATCTCGAACAGTAACGTTAATTGTCCAAACTACAAAGCTGTTGTATCATTAATGTAGCAACAATGACACCAGTAATATGCTGATTGGAATGTCAAATAAAGCAGCACCATCATCAATAGTAATACAGCCAAGTATAGAAAAAATCTTAATCACCCATAATTTAATGTGTGCATGATGTGTTCCCTCATTAACCAATTCTACACAAAAGCTCATTACCAACTACAGTCCCCGATTTCAAAAACTAGTTCTATAAATATTACAAGCAATCAATTGGCTCACAGCCAGGAATATCCCAACCACTGGAATATCAACAGAGGGGGTGGGGAGTTGTTGGTCAAAACAGCAACGATCCTGATGTATAAAACAATGCAACATCCCCATCATGTGGTAGAAATAGAAATAACAGTTCATATCAGAGGTAGCTCATATATTGCAAGAGCCAGTAAACAAATAATACATTCTCACAGAAATTTAGGTCACTCTTTAAAGAGTTAAAGCAAGAATTATTACTTTAAATGCCTGTTATTGCAGGGGATGAGACAGTAATTAGCTGCTCCTGGCCTAGTTCCTGTTTGCCCATATAGCATGAACTCTCACATACTCATCATCCCCTTGCATATCTGATCAATTCAAGGTGGTCATTCCCTTCTCCCAATCCACTGTTGCCTGCCAGAGACATTAAAATTAAGCTAGACTGATGAGAATCATCGGTATTTGTGCCCATGGTTTTTACTTGTTCATCTTACAGATGGATTAACAATCAACCTTACTACAAATCAGTCCACACCAGAATTCAGGAAGTTTGTATTCTTTATGGTAAATTTTAAAACAATGAGAAGTTTTATTGTTTTATATCTTAACATATTTATGATCTCTGCAGAGACAGAGAAATGTGAACTCTAACTTTCCAATTTTTGACCCAATTCAAAAATATTCTTTTACCAATTTACTCTTTCCCCTTGTTGCTACTATTATGACAGTTATATTCAATTGAAAGATGTCAAACAAAGTCTAAAGTCTGCTTTCAGCTGATTGATACATTGGAACCTAAGACAGGATACTTGGTATTGGCACCTTACTTCTCTCTCTGCTGGGCTACGATTTAAGCCATAATTTTTATCTCATAGTATTCGTGGCTGGGGCCATTTTTTTTAACCTCACTTCACCATATATGGGCAGAATAATAACCACAGTTCTACTGAGAACAAACAACATGCTGTATTTCCCAGCATGCAAATCATGCATTCATATGACTTGACATTCCTGATCCTTTGAGAACATTAGTGTTTCATTTCTTCTTAACAACATCCAACTCCCCCTCCCCCAACCATCTCCACCAACTCCCAGTCTTTCATCAAAATGGAATCTGCAAAATTTTAGTTCAGGCAAGTCATAACATTTCCATGACTTATTACCAAATACTGTGACCCCTCCAAATACAAACAGCTGCAGCACCTATGATTGCAAAGAATCTAATTATCAAGAACTTATTTGCTTATGCCATAAAGCACTCTTCTCTACTTCTACAGAAAAGTAATAAAAAAAATTCTCTTCTTATCCATTGAGGATTGAGAAATTTGTTTAAATTGCTTCCCACTTTGGGAAAATTCAGCATTTGGGAATAACTACAAATGCCATAAAAGTTATTAAACTTTAATAGTGCAGCAAGCTCATGAAAGGTTAGATTTTCCAACACTCTGCTTCTGGCATGTAAGAGCATATATTGGGAAACTCTTCACCACCTGGTGATATTCTGCCCATTAATCTATCATTAAATGTTTTAACACAGGAGCATGAATGAAAGGAATTAACAGCCAGCACGGATGTATCAGAAGGCACTAAATGACAGGACAAGTCGTGGAAAGACCCCAAGCATTTGGATCTCCTTATTCTGTGATGTTCAAGAACGACAAGATTGCTGTGTCTATTCACCCTCTAATATTTTCAGGCTCCAGTAATCCACCCACACATCCAGCCCCTTGTGGCTTAACCATCACCCTCCCTCTTCCACAATGCAGCACAATTTACTCCCTATTCATCCCAAGAATCCCCTCTGTAGGTTCCCACCCTAACGCTTATAACATTTTCGGTGTTCCTGGGCACCTTCAAACATGAGTGCCAAAAAGTCAGGTACAGCAATTAATTGGGAAGGAAAATGGAGTTGGTCTTTATTGTAAGGAAGAGGGGCCATAAAATTGGCAGGTCTGGCTACAAGTGTACTGGGCACTGCATACGCTTCTGATCTCCTTACTGAACAGAGATGTTTACATTGGAGGCAGGTAAAAGATTCGTTTGGCTAGTCCCAGAGATGAAACAGTTGTCTTAGAAAAAAAGGTTAAACAGGTTAGGCCTCTACGCATTGAGGTTTAGAAAAAGGGAGGTGTTCTTATTTTAACATGCAAGATTCTGAGGGGTTTTGACAGGTTGCGAACTGAGTCAATGCACCTGCTCTTGGGAAAGTTTAGAACTAGGAGGTATAGCTTTATAAAAAAAAGTTGGAAATGAGGAATTTCCTATCTCTGAGGACTGTTAATCTTTAGAATTCCACTAGCCTGGAGAGCAGTGGAGGCTGTCATTGAATATAATCAAGGCTGAGTTAGACAAATTAGTGAACTAAAAGGGAGTTGAAGGTTATGACGGGAAAGTAGATTTGAGACTTGAGTAGGCAGTCAGGTCAGTGTGGCTGGGAGCAGGGGCTGATAGCTGTGGTGCTTAGCACAGTCACAGAGTCAAGGGTATTCATCAGCCTAACATTTCCTGGGAAAGGATCCAGGCGAGTCCCTAGGTGCCCTTGTGATGCAATGGTAATGTCCCTACCTCTGGACCAGGAGACCTGGGTCCAAGTTCCATCTATTCCAGAGGATGTGCGATAAAATTTCTGATTAGGAAAATATCTCAAGATGAGTCCCATATATCTGGCCCAAATCTCTGACCCTCAGCACAGCTCACAGAGGGTCCAGGGTGAAATACTTTATCGTACATGTGTAGTACTGTGCTCCTAGAAGAAATAACAGGCAAAGTAAAAAAAAAATCACTAAATACCAAAAGAAACATTGTACGGCTAGGTCCTGAAGTACCTTTCTCGGCCAAAAAAACTTTAAAACAGGTATTCAGTTGCAACATGTACATACCTAAATGCTCTTATTCATAAACAAAATATCCTTTAGATAACGTAAAAAACAGAATAAATGCAATATATAGCACATGTTGGAATTACAATCATGCTACGCTCCATCTAATGGCAGGAACTCGTCAGTGCAAGCAGAATTACCTGCGCTGAACAACATCTGCCACCAGGTGGAGCCCAGGACTTCAGTGCAAGTTGAGAATGGCAGCCAGAACAGGAAAAAAACACTAGAAAGTTTAAAAGGGGTCACAGAGGCAGGAGGTGAAGAGGGTAAGAGGGAAAGGGACAGGAAGTGAAGCAAGGTCACGGACTAGAGAGATAGTAGGAACTGCAGATGCTGGAGAATCTGAGATAACAAGGTGTAGAGCTGGATGAGCACAGCAGGCCAAGCAGCATCAGAGGAGCAGGAAGGCTGACGTTTCGGGTCTAGACCATGTGATAAAGATCTTGAAAACTGCCAGCTACAGAACATGAAGTCTGGTGAGTAACTTTAAACTGAAACTTTCAAAGTTAAACAACTGTACTGTTAATATCTTTTTCAAGATGTTAAAATGAAACTGTTACTGAAATTCATATCGTAAACTTACTAACTCAAATTACCCTGGAGAAGCCAAGAATCTAAAAGATTTTAGCATCAGCTTAAGCAAGCCACCTCACACAGCTACAATGCAGTGGCTACACAAAGTGGTGTTTTCCATTAGCCATATCCGACTAGTCAATCCAAAGGAGGAACATAAATGTATAAATTATTGTGTTGGTCCAATGCCAACAGTCAGTCAATTATCAAGACCACATACAAGGCATTTCAACAAAGTTGTCCATAGCTAAGAATAAGTGATTCTGTATGCAGGCCTCATTTTAAATTTGTGATTCAATTTAAAAATAACTAATAGCAAACTTTAGTCTTAAACGAGAACAGGAATTTTTTTTCAACTACAAATCACTACTAGTCTACATTAAAAATCAACTAAATACATTGAAGGATTAAATGCTAATTAGGGTAAAAGGTGGAATTCAGTCAGTCCTTTAGCATGTTGTTTCAGGCCCAGTGTAATGGTAATACCACTGGAATAGTAAGCTGAACCTAGGTTACTGTTTTGGGAACATGAATTCAAACCCCATCATGGCAGTTTTTTTTTTAATTCATTCACTGTGGAACGTGGAGATCACTGGCTGGCCAGCATTTATTGTGTGTCCCTGATAGCGATTGATACAACTGAGTGTCTTGCTAGGCCATTAAAGAGGGCAGTTGAGAGTCAAATCATATTGCTGTGGATCTCGAGTCACATGTAAGCTAGATCAGCTGTAGATGTTACATTTCCTTCTCTGAAGGACATTAGTGAGTCAGATGGGTTTTTCCAACAGTCAACAATGGTTTCACGTTCATCAATAGATTCTTAATTCTAGGCATTTTTATTAAATTCAAATTCCACCATTTGCCATGGTGGGATTTGAACCTGGGACCCCAGAACATTAGCTGAGCCTCTGGATCAGTAGCTCCTCAATAATACGACTAGATCATCGTCTCCCCTAGATGATAGTGAAATTTGAAATCAATAAAAATAAGGAATCAAAACCTAGTCTAATGGTGACCCCTATCAATCATCAATTTAAAAAAAAAGGTCCACTTATGTTCTTTAGGGAAGAAATTTTTCTGTGCTTACCTCGTCTGATCTACACACAAGTCCAGATCTACAGCAACATGGTTGACACTTCACTGCCCTTTAGGCAATTAGGGACAGGCAATAAATAATGACCTGGTCAGTGACATGCACATCCCATAAACAAATTTTTAAACATTAATTTCCTATTCTCACCTCTAAAAAGACCAATGTTCATTTTAACTGCTCCTTTACTTGTTGTACATTTGTCGACATGATGTGGACGTGTCGATGTTGGACTGGGATGGACAAGGTCAGAAATCTCATGACACCAGGTTATAGTCCAACAGGTTTATATGAAAACACAATCTTTCGGAGCCTTTCTCCTCCTTCAGGTGTTAGTGAGAGAGGTAGTATCAGACACAATTTAAGTAAAAGATCAAAGGGTCACACCACTGATCAGAACATATTAAACAAACTTGAGATGCTGTTAAATCTTCAATCAGTTACAAGGTTTTAATTGATTAATATGTATATGTAAATCCCCAAATTCCCATCAAGTTATTGTCCTGAGAGAACTAAAAAGGTTTTATCAGTGTACAGAAGATGTGACATTTTAGGTCAGACAATGCATATTAGGTGTGAAGCCTTGTTTAGAATCAGTTTTGATTTGGAGTCAGACCGATTTTGCTTCTAAAGTAGGAATTTATAAAGCAGCACATTGACTGTCAATAAATTGTGTGCTTTTTGAACAAAAAGATATAAATTCACCTCATAGATGTGTGTGACGATAGTGTCCATGTCAAAGATCTGACATGTCTCGTGTTGTGGTTGATGTTGTCTTGAAGTCTGGGTAGTTTGCTGCAAACAATGGTCTATTTAAGGTTTGGCGGTTGTTTGAAGGTGAGAAGTGGAGGTGTGGGGAAGATCTTTGCAAAGTGCTCAGCGTCATCGATAATGTGTTGAAGGCTGCGAAGAACATCGCGTAGTTTCTGCACTCGGAAGCATTGGACAATGAAGGGTACTCTATCGGATGTATCCAGTGTCTGTCTTTTGAGGAGGTTGTTACGGTTTATTGCTGTGGCATGTCGGAACTGGTGATTGATGAGTTGAGCATCGTATCCTGATCCTACGAGGGCATCCCTCAACACCTTCAGGTGTCCGTCTCGCGCTTCCTCATCCGAACAGATCCTGTGTATGCACAGGGCTTATCCGTAGGGGATGGCTGTTGTAATGTTTTGGGTGGAAGCTAGAGAAGTGCAGCATCATGAGCTTATCTGTAGGCTTGCGGTAGAGTGAGGTACTGAGGTGTTTGTCCCTGATGGAGATGCGTGTGTCCAAGAATGCGACTGATTCTAAAGAGTAGCCCATGGTAAGTCTGATGGTGGGATGAAACTTTCTGATCTTGCTTTGTAGCTATTTCAGTAATTCCTCGCCATGAGTCCAAAGGAAGAAAATGTCGTCAATGTATCTGAAATATAGCGTTGATTGGAGGTTCTGTGCAGCAAAGAAGTCTTGTTCGAGCCTGTGCATGAAAATGTTGGCATATTGGGGAGCAAGTCTGGTCCCCAAGGCTGTTCTGTGTGTCTGGATGAAGAACTGGTTGTCAAAGGTGAAGACGTTGTGGTTCAGGATGAAGTGGTCGAGTTGTAGGATGGTGTCTGAAAATTGGCAGTTGGTGGTATTGAGTACTCAGGCTGTTGCAGTGATGCCGTCATCATGGGGAATGCTGGTCTAGGGAGCTGAAAGATCCATTGTGATGAGGAATGTTCCTGGCTCAACTGATCCGTGGGTGCTGAGTTTCTGTAGGAAACCTGTAGTGTCATAACTGAAAACTGGGGGTTCCCTGCACAATGCGTTTCAAGATGCCCTCTACACAGAGAGGTTCTCACACAGGGTCCCATTGCCTGATATGATGGGATGTTCAGGTGTGCTGGCTTTGTGTATTTTTTGGAAGGCAGGAACTTTCAATGTCCATTTTTATATTTTTTGCTAGTTTTCCTTCATACTTCACTTACTCTTTCTTTTTTGTTGTTCTTTGCTAATTTATAGGATTTTACCAATCTTAACATTTACCACTAATCTTAGCAACATCTTTTTGGTACCATCCTTATTGAACAACAGATGCTGCTTCCTTCCTGTAGAGTCTTTCTGTCTCAATGGAAATTCTCTTTGTTGGGTGTTAATAAATAGCTCCATAAAAATGTTTGCCACTGCTTCTCCACCATCTCACATTTTATTTTCCCCAGTCCCTTTTGGCAACTCAATCTTCATACCTTGGTAGATGCCTTTAAGTTTAAGATTAGCTTCAGGTTCTCATTGCCCACCCTCAAACTACTTGAAAATCTGCTATGGTCACTTTACTTGGAGCTTATTCATTAACTCTCATTAAACATCACTATATCAAAAATAACCTGTTTTATGGCTCAGACCAGAACGTATCGTGCAAGGTAAATCAAACAGATCATGAAGTTCTATATTATGATCACTGTTACCTAGAGGACATTAACTAATTCTGTCTTATTACACATAACCATGTCTCAAATACCCTGCCACACATTTAATTCTGATCGAATAGATCTTAGGCCAAGTTGCCTGTGGCTCAGGTAGTAATTCCAAAAATAAAACACAAGGTGGTAATATTAAATTTATCATCTAACTGCATATACTTCCCCGGTAGAACGTCTTTCTCAGTCCTACTTATGTTGTTGGTTCCCACATGGATGACAATGACTGGATCCTATACCTCCCAATCGAAGTTTTCTTCTGGTGTCCTTAACTCTGGCACAGGGTCAGCAACACAGACTTTGGTACTCATGTTTTTGGCTGAACTAAAGAGTCTTTAGCGAGAGATTCCCTACAACTACATTCCTTTTTATTATCCCCACCTGAATAGCTCCTTTTACTAGAGGAATTATGGTCAGTTTACTCATCCTCAAGTCCCAGCTTTTCTTTACATTAACTGCAGGAACATCCTCCATTGCTACTTTCTGGATCCCTGAATCTGCCTCTTTTACAGTCACATCTACTTTCCCTCAAAAATTGGAAACAACTATCCCAAATGGTGGGACTACTTCCTGGAACCAAGTCTCCAGGTATTAATCCCTCATCATGAGGCATTGCAGTGACCAAAACTTAAACTCCAGCTCAACAGCTCCAAGCCAAAACTCCTTGAGCTACAGACACCGAGTGCAGATGTGGTTACTGTAGATCCCACTGGTCTCCACCAGCTCCCACGTGGTACAGAAGCAACACAACTGCCTTGTCAGTGTTCTTCTTAGTTATTTTGAATTTTTATTAGGATAGATTAGAAATAATCAATAATCCATCTTTATATTATGATCTTAACTATAAATGTTTGCTATAATTTGAACATAATAGACCAGATTTTTCAAGGAGCAACATTACAGCCAAATTGCCACTTTGACGGGTCCTGTGAAAGGAGAAGTGTGTAAACTAAATGTAAGGTCAGCGCCTCAGGGAGGTTATAAAGCATTTAGGGTAGGCTGGGTTATCAGATGTTGGAGGGGCGGGGAAGAGGTGGTGGGGGACTGTCAGCTTCTGGATGGGAGGTGGTATCAGGTCCAATGGTAGGTGGCTGCAGGATTAGGGTCCTCGTGGTGTAAGGGGTTTTTCATTTGCTCATGGGTGATTCTTGTTACCTTGAGAATGTGGTGATGAGTTGCCTTCTTGAACCGCTGCGGACCACATGCTGTAACTTGACTCACAAAGCCCTAGGGGAGGGAATTTCAGGATTTTGACCCAGTGACAGAAGGAACGGAAATATATGTCCAAATCAGGATGATGAATGGCTTGGAGGGGAACTTGCAGGTGATGGTGTTCCCCCGTATCTGTTGGCCTCGTCCTCCTATATGGAAG